GGCCGGGGTTAGGGCTCCGCTTTTTTAGGTTCGGGCTTCGAGCTGAGCATAAAAAAATAATAATAAATGAAAGTGTTGGTTTGGTGCTGGCTGGCTGGTCGTGGCGGTACGTGTAATAACATTCAAGTGCGCCAAGTTTAATCTTTCAAAATGCTTATGCACAAAAAATAAGCTATAGCAACTGCCACGGCGATGGAGTGTCAGCAGGCGAAAAGTAATGTGCAAAAAAAAAAAGGAAATAATAAGCCAAGGCAGCGCCAGCCCCATCGTCGAAAAAAAAATAATGCGAGGGTAATTTACGTTTAGAGCCTGCAAAATTATTCAAATTAAAATTGTAAGTATTCTAACGCGTCGCAGGCATCTGCGGCCCACCAGCTGCGGTGCGCTCCAGGACCAAAAGAGCAGCAGACAAGTGCACTGGGAACAATTGGGGGAGCTTATTTAAATATTAAATTATAAAAGCAAGAATACATGTAAGAAAACAAATTATTAATGAAAAATTATCTCTAAAAAATATTTATAATTATATTTAAATCTATCCTCATGAAATCAGTTTTTAATTATTAGGAATTTATTATTAAGAATTTAATTTAAAATTTGGTTAAGCTTGATAAATATTTGCAAGGTATTTTCTATACAAGACCTAATGGGCATATTAAGCCAAGAAACTCTGCTAGGGGTATGACATTGCTGCAAAAATATCCTTGATAAGAATTTTTATCAAAAGCTTAAACAAAGCCGTAAGGATTGACCTTTAATATCAAAATAACCTACAAATTCTGATCATTTTTAACTTTAATTTTTAAAATTTAATTTAGAAAAATATAATTTACAAATATTATTTGTAATAAAATGTGTCTTTGTTTAATACATTTATCCATCTTTTCTCGTTGTGCATAAAAAATAAGAGACCGAGAGAGAGAGAGGAGCACCGAAAGAAGACAGCAACAGCGAGGGAGAGAAAGCAAGAGCGCTGACCCAGCGCTGTGTTAAATTAGCTGGGACACTTAATTTCTGTTGACGCGCACATTTTTCTATAGAAAATTAACGCTAAATAATTTTTTGGATTCGCCAGCGAATCGTTCAGCCAGCAGACCGAAGACGACGCCCCCCCATAACAAAAACGTGGGATTCCGGGCACTTCTTTTTTGGCTTAGGCTTTGGAGTTGGCAATTAGGCCCGGGGTGTTTGAATTAGTTTCGTGTTTTAATGAGTTTCATAACTTTTTGGTTCCGTTGTAAATTTTGCAGCAGCAGCAACACAAAACACACATAAAAGATGCGTGCAACGGCTAAAGCGGCGGAAAAGCGGTGGGAAACCCAGAAGGAAAACGAACAAATTTCCATGTTACAACTGCTGGAAAAACCCTCGGGTGGATTTATGTATGTATTTGCTGGCCATACACCCGGTTGACATAAGCGAAAGCAAAGTGGCAAAAGGCAACATGAAAAATGCTTTAAATCTTCTCAAAAGGCGGTGGAGGGTGGGCCAGGGGGTAGGGGTGGTGTTTCTAAGGGAGGTCAGGTCTCAGATGTGTGTGTCTCTGAGTGTGTATGCTAATGATATTTTAAAAGAGAGCGTGTATTGTGTGTGTTTGCGTGCTCGTGAAAAATTATTTATGTTGCCTACTTATTGGGGCATGCAAATGAGCATTGTTATGCAAAACGTATCTAAATTCCACTCATAAATTGATTTAGCCAGCGAATCAAACTATCGAGCCCCTAATTAATAAATCATTAGCATTCAGGCGAGCCAGAAACAGAGCTGAGTTTGTCAAATAACACAGAAAACATATGAAACTACATTTTATTAATTTAAGTCGTTATCAACAAATCTATTAAATTGAGCAACCTTTGTATGACTTTTATATATATTTTTAAAGTCATTATAAAGCTCTTGCATATATAAAATATAATTAAGTTTACACAAAGTCTAAACTAAAGCAATTAAATCATTTATTTAAACGCTGTTATGCAATCAATTGCTAAATGGCCCTCATAACTTCAATTATCCAAACAAATCGAAACTATCGAGTGAGATGTAACACTCAAAAAGAACTCTAATTAATTAAACATCACAACGGTGTCCGAACAAAAAATAACACACAAAAAAGGCGAAAAAATTGACCTACCAGCAACAAAAAAAAATTAAAAAGGAGCGAAAATTCCAATGACAAATGGGGCTCGCTGTTAAATATTTGCAGGAAAACCCTTTTCCGGCACAAAACAAAACACACCAAAAAAATATAAAACGGAAAAGCAGCAAAACATTTCTATCTCTTTTGCACACACCATTTATTTTCCACGCTCTTCCCCGGCACTTGGCCCCCCATTGTTTGTAGTCACCATTCAACTGTAATTACTTAGGTAGACCCGATCCGAAGCGATACTGGTGGATATATAAGCCTCTCTCTTTGCACCGGGAAAAACTTTGAATTTTCTTTTAATTTTTCATAGTTAAATTGCCATTTCAGGGAGCCGTGTCCTGTGTCCTGTGGCATGTGCAAGGATGCGCCCCAAACAGGGGGGAAACAAACCAAAGCAAAACAAAGGCAAAAGCAACCGAAACAGCAACTGGCAAGCGGGCATAAAAAAGGACAAAAAAAATTGAAACTTTATACAGTTGGCAAAAGTTCAGAGAGAGAAGCGAATCAAACCCGAAAGGGTTCACACAAATTTGCAGCTAAAATGAGAACCGATTTTGATGTAGGTCAGGTTCTGGGGTCAGAAAGATTTAACCAAATTTAATAAACCCCAAGAAATCCCAGTCAGTCGGGGAAATTGCTCTATCACAAAACAGTTTTGTGAGAAAAATAAGAGGACAATAAGTCATTAAGTGGACAATGTAGCCAAGTTGTATCTCACGGCATTTAATTTGGCCAAATTTAATAAAAAGCCCTCCTTCAGTTTAGCATGTGAAATTCCCCATAAACCCAATTAGAAGGAAATTCCTGGTTATAAAAAGAATTCGAAATAAAAATCAAAAGGCAAAGGAATAGGAAAAATATTTAAAAGAAAGAATAAAATGACCAAAGATATTTAGGTATTAACAAGAGGCAGCCCAACTTGGGATACCCAAAGTATATAATAAATAACATAAGTAAATATATATAAACAAGTTTTGAAAAATATATATGGAGAAACCTATACAAATATCAAACAATTTGAGTCCTTTAAATGTAATAAATTATTATTGTACATTTTTAAGGATAATGCAAGAGAAAATTGTCAACCATCAGATAAAACCCTGTGAATAGATAATAATAATAACGAAGATTTTATTATTAAAAGACGAGATCTTATTACAAAAAGATGGCATTTTTTTTATACAATTTCCAGAGGAAAGGCTTCACTTCTCTAGTGCTAAAGCAAATCTTAAGACACTACGCATCTTAAAACTTAAACTATTTTCAGTAAAACCCAATTACGACCCTCAAACAAATACATACGTACCTTAATTCAGGCCAAGCATAAACAAATAAAACATGCAAATCGTACCGTTCCGTTCTTTAAGTTCATTCTGCATTGGCAAATTTAAAAATACCCAACAAAACCAAGTCAAGCAGCGAATTTTAGCACTTGAAAGTGTGTACGCAAAAGCCCATTAAGAGCCAGTTTCAGGAAAACACACAGTCATATCTAGGCAAAAATCTCTGGTAAAAATAAATGTGGAGGGAAATAAATAAATATCAAAAACCATAAATAAATAAAAGTTGTGAACAAGCAAAGGCCCTGTCCACCATGTTGGCAAACATGAGAGACCGAGACCGAGACCGAAGCTGGCGAGCATTTACAACTCCTGGAGCAGGAGCAGGAGCAGTAGCAGGAGCTGCTGCAGAAGCGAGAGATACAAGATACACACGTCAGCAACGGCTTTGTGTACTCGTATCTGTATCTGTATCTGTATCTCGTGGTAGCTGTGGTCGTTGTCGTGGGCGGCCACACGCCCCTTTTTTTCGCTGCCACAAAAATCAATATGTTGATTTGAACTTTCTTTTCGCTTCGCCCCTTTTTCTTAGTCTTCTTTTCTTTATATTTTGCCCAGAAAGTTTTGCGCCAAGGAATTATCAATTTTTTCTTTGTTGCCAGCCAGCCTGCCTGTCTTCTTGTTTTTAGCTCCAACTCCAAAGAGAAATGAACACGGCAAGAAAATATCTACATATAATACAATAAGATTATAGGTTCTTAAAAATTTGTAGAAACTTTATACACGAAAATTATGGGGAATAATATATAAGCTTAGACTCCCCAGAGAAAAAATTCTTAGAAATCGAACCACTTGCTTTTTGACAAGCTCTTGGATTTCTCTCTCAGTGAAGTCTTTGGCCAAAAGCTGCCATTATCTGCTTACATATTCATGTGTATATGGCATGGCCATATAATAAATGTCTGTATGTACTTCTATGTATAAGCGGATATTTTTGACACTTCAAAAATTGGAATATCTCAAGAGCCAAAGAAGAGCGACAGGCGGCGGCGAACACAAAATGCCCTGTGTAATTTTTCATGACTCCGCCCTCCGGCCCCTCGGAAAGAAGGGCCCCATCTGGGGCCTCAGAGGGTACCAGCTCCATTCGAAATCGTAGCAGATTGAGCTGTTGAGCTCGGGGGAATGGGGCGTATATATCTGTACATGTATATATATGGGGGAACCGGCACCAGCATGACAACTGAGCCTTTTCCTTTATCGCCACTCTGTGTTTTGTGTGCGGCGGCCTGCCACTTTTTTTATTATTTCACAAATATCGATAAGGACGACTGAGGCGGCTGATAGGCGAAAGAATCGCCCCAGAGAGCCCCTGCCATCTCAGTGTCATCTCAATGCCGTCCAGGATCTCGCTGCCTTGGCCATATTTGGCGACAGTAAATGTTTGCTAAATATCCTCAGTAAATACTCAGCAGCTTATGTGGGAGCTACACACACACACATCCACACACACACACAATCATTCGCAAATAAATAAATAAGTATCTCGTACAGTGAAATCATGGCTTACTTACAGTGTTCAACAACTGGGATGGATGACCCCGTGAGACGGTCTCAGACCAAGCTGAAAAGAGTAGGAAAAGCATTCAGGGGAATTATTACTACAGCTTGGGTGAGTTTTTTAAGGAATTTATATTAATTTTATATGGTTTAGGAAAATATAAATTGTATATTTTTACTTGTGACATTATTTAAAGTTTCTGATTTATTTTTTATATTAATCTTACGACCTAGTTTCGTCTAATGAGAGCATGGCATCTATTTATACCAATATATGAGCTCCTTTATTTAGATTAATTAATATATAAATAAATATGTAAACCTATTTGTTTGATAAGTTTGATAAAGGGGGAAACCAATTATCTCATCTCTAAGATCTAAGATCAGATGATTAAATGTTCAAATTAAGAAAAAAATACGATTAAAATATTTTCTTAGAGTTTTTAAATGGCTCTAATAAATACAAGACTTAACAAACCCAACAAGATGAGTTATTCACCCCTCTTTGATCTTATTAACAGAATACCCACTGTACCTGGCCTGAGCCTCCTGAGCTCGGCTCTTGTCCTGCCCAAGGATGGATGCCTTCGGCCGGGCCAGAGTGAGAGAGATGGAAATATCGCACTTTAAAGCTCGTCTGGGACTCAGGCAGCCTCATGTGCGAGAGCATTATTAATGAATTTATGTATTCGTAATCTCAGCCCAAGCCCGTCCAATCAACACTGCGTATACGCAACCTCCGCAACTTTATATTGACTGGAAGAGCCAAGGAGCTTAACCAAATAATGAGTGTTATTTTACATACGTAAGGGTCTGAGACCCAGACCCGGGCGAATCATTAGTTTCTATTTCACTGGCTGGCAATTCAATCAGGTTGATCAGTTTTCAATATTGAGAACGGGACTATATTGCCTAGCTTCCTCGGCTGGAGTCCTCCAAGAGCATGCCTGTTTGGCTCTGCAGTAAAGTAAATTTAGTTAACCAACCATAAAAAATTGTGTGCGCAAATGTGGGTGAGTGCTTTGGCCACTGCCACATCTTTTACACACACAGACCCCAGCAGCAGCCCTACTCTGCTATTCACACATATTACATATACGACACATAGTTGGGGCAAAGTTGATGATGTGGTTATAGTTGTTGGCTGGCTTTGCCACTGCTCCCTGCTTCTGCTGCTCATTAGAGCCGCGTTCGCGCCGAAAAATCTGTAACACATAAAAGTATGCAACATGAAATGTGCTAACGACAAGACCACACTGAGAGAAATTTTTAATACCGAACGCTAAATGGGTTGAAGTTGGGTTTAAGTTGGTTGCTTAAAATCAATTAAAAATTAAATCAATTGATAAATATTTTTATTTCCCCGAAAATTGTTAGGAATAGTAATTTAAGTCAAACAAATTAATTTAAGGACCCTAAAGTAAAAAACATATATGTAGAAAATTCCTACAATTAGTAAAGAATTTTTCTATAATTTTTCCAAGCCTCTTCTGTAACTTTTTCTCACCGTGCCCTATCGAAAGAGAAAGCCATAGCTTTAAGGGGGACGCTGGGTGATTCCCAGATATTATCAGCAAAGTTATTGGCGGGCAGCGTCAGCGGAGGTGGTAGCTAGAAGCTAGGAGCTGGGAACTGCTGCTAAGCATTAAATTTATGAATCCACAGCGAAGTGTCTTCTCTCCACTTGGTGGCTCATAACTCGAAGTCGGCTTAGAGCCTCGGATCCACGCCACCGTCCTAACTAACCGCCTCGCCTCTCCCTCCCACCCGGAGTGCCAACCGAGTAACCAAGGCGACTGCGGCGCGGACAGGAAGTTACGTGACTCGTGGGCATAAGTCCTCGGACTGCATTTCACCTTATTTGCTTGGGCTTCATCATCTGCCTTCCTATCCCCGGCTCCAACTCCAGCTCCAGCTCCAGCTCCGGCTCTGGCTCTGGCTAATGGCTAAGACTATAGAGCAAAGTGATAAATTCTGGCTCAAATGGAAACGAAGTGGCCCTTGGAAAAATTTACATTATCACGCGAGGCGAAAAATGCTGAACTGCTGGACACAATATAGTTATGCAAATAGCGCCACGAATTATATAAATTGCGTATACGCAGCGTGGCCCCAGACACATTGATATAAATTCATATTCAAATGGCCAAAAGGAATGGTTTTTGTAAGAAGTAAAGACTAGGAGATGACCAGTTCTCGTGAGCTGGTGAGTAATTAATGAACTTTACTTTAAAAGTTTTATAAATATAATCAACATCCTATACAATATATCGGAAAATTGAATTTAATTTACGTTTGATATGTCTAGCGACTTTTCCTCGTCTTTCTATGAAATCTTGCTAAGAATTTGCTGTGGGCTGCAGACAGCCTGCTAGCCTGCAGGGCTCTTAACACGACGCCTTATTTCGGGAATTTAAACTAAAGTAGCTTGGCCTTTCTTCTAGCCATATATCAACCCCTCTTTCAATATTCCCGAATACAATATACCCTTGAACCCCAAGATTACCAGGTACCAAAGAAGAAAAAAAAGAGAGAAAAAGGAAAACATTTGCACAACATTTCGAGATACACTCGCATATCTCGCAATATTCCTACTGCCAAGTGTGTGCGCTGCGTCTCCGGCAAATTAAGGCGGGGCGCAAAAGGGAAAAAGGACAAAGGGCCTGGTAAATAGCGGAAAATGTTAAACGACCGACCGGTACGCAAATTGATATTTTTCTACAACATGCAAATAACACAAGTAATGCGGGGAGAGGGGCGCTTCCTCTGTGCGCAAATAAATGATCTGATAAGACAACAACAAACGTAAAAATTTATGCATGCCAACTAAACAACACACACGCAGGCACAACACAGGCACACACACCCACCGGAAGGACTTGCTGCTGGTAATGGTGGGTGGCCACGTGTAGGATGCTGTGGAAAAATGAAATAAAGTTAAACAGGATATTTCAACATTCGCAGCAGCGGCAGAAGCAACAGCAAACAAAACAACTGAAAGTAAAAGCTAACGAGGGCTCCTGCCTCCAAGGGGGGAATGGGGGGCGTGGCAAGGACGTTGCCAGGACACATTCCGATTCGGTGTGTTAAAATGTAATAGCAACGTTAATGAACACGAACGCAGTGGCAGTGGCATTGCCAGTCGCAGTCGCAATGGAAATGGTCACATAAAAAAGGCAACGATTTGCCCCGGCCTTTTGCTCCTTTCTCTTTTTTATGCCTCTGCCCCACAGGTTGTGGTTGTAAAACACACAGAAGGACTTACACACACACACACACACAGACAAAGACAGGACATTAGCAGGGAGAGCACAAAAAAAAGTTAGCAAAGCGCAGGAAGTGCGCGGATGAGAGCAAAACAAATCTCAGCCACGCACGTCTTTGGCAGCCTCGTGTAAACCTCCGCCCACTCAGAAAAAACCACCAGCTCCCTTTCTGAATTTTCCACCCACCACCCCTTGACATTGGCCCTCCCCCGAGCGCCATTCCCACGCCCCTGATGCCCCCAACTCCACCCAATCGTCGTCGTTCGCTTTCTTTGTTGTCTCCCCAAAAAACCAATTGCGCTGTCGCTGTCGCCATCATTATGGCACTGAGAGAAAAAATGATAGATTAGAGTTCTTAGAGGCATAGTTTGTGCTCTTTATTTTTAAGAATATTTTCTAGAATTATATGTTAAGTATTTTTAATAATAAAAAAAAAATCTGGAATTGGCTTTTATAAGTTTCTGTTACGAAAGTTTTTTTCTCAGTGCCCCCTGTTGTCACTACTGGTTTGGCTGTTGTCGGGGCCAACGCAGGTTGCCGTCTCCTCTCTGTCTCCCGGCTCCCGATTTCCACACTGAGCTCCCTTGCCCTATACAACTGGTACTCCGGCCGGTACTCCGTCTCCGTCCCGGGCTCTTTGGCCCGTGTACTCATCCAATCGTCGCCGCCAATGCTGCGAGGCATGTCACCACGTTGGTGATGCGTGAACAGTCGCAGTCAGTGATTGAATCACTGCTATCTGGCTGCCTTAATGGAATTCGAATTGAGGCGGCCATATTTTAAAGGACCTGCGACTCTTAATCCTTACAGATGCATTTACACAGGATTTAAAGGTGAATTTTGAAGTTATCTATGGGACTTAAGTTTTTTGTAAGCTCTTTTCTTTATTGTATTGAAAATCATATATTTTAAGGTAGAAATTACAAACTATTTTTAAAGGAAAATATAAGAAAAAAAATATATATTTTAAATTGATGTAAAAAATTAAATTTCTTTAAAAACAAGTGGGTATTTTCCAAAATTTCTAAAACCCTTTTTTTATTGGATTTTAAAACATAACATTTCACTTGAAAACCTCGAAATCTCTTTTTATTTTAACGAATCTTTGTAAGTAAATATAAAAAATAATACAAGGCATATATTGCATGTATAATAATTTATAATTAAAAAGCAAATATAAAATAGAAAACCTCAAAATCATAATCTTTCTTCACTAAAATTTATTTTCAATAATAATCCCTAAGATTTCCCTTAAAATTTTCTAAAAATCTTCCTTAATCCCTAAATCTTTACATACTTCTGAGATAAATCTTAAATGAAACAGAAATCTCAGATATCTTAGTTGTCAACTTCGATTTCCATTCAATTTAAAATAACTTGTTCTACGTTTCACCTTCTCTCCACCTAGTTTTCTGCAACGAAAGTAAGTAGGAAAAGCGCAAGCAAAGAAGCTTATGGGATTATAACTCCCAGGTACTCCACTGCTTCCAAGAGAAAGGAGAACCCCATCCTTGAGTCTAAACCAGAGCTTAATAGTTGTAGGGGGGATGGGATGGGTTTGGCCACCGTTCCGCACAAGGGCCCCAATTAACCACGAGGACGAAATAGAGGAGAGCAACTCACGTTATACTACAGCAATTATAAACTAATTCCAGTTTAGCTTTAGCCCAATCACAGTTTGCTCCATCACTGGTGGTAAGGAGAGGATGAGGGGAAGTCCTCCAGCCAAGGTGAATGGGATTTGGGGCTGCCAGTTCTGTCGCTTCTGTCGGCTTCAATGAGGCATTTTACACCATTT